TAAACACTTCTGCATATTATTCACAGGGGGATTGAATGTAATTTGTTAGCCAAATTGGTATGAACCATTTCAGTTGCGAGCATTGAGTACAAATCTTGAGGGGGTTACACAAAGTACTTTTTAATACCGTTTCCAAATACATTTATAAGAATGGAGATGTATGTTTCAAATGTATTTAAATTCCTAGCAGGTACATGCTTCAAACCCTGATCCAATGTACTCCTCTCGATTTAAACAGAACTCCGATTGAAATTCTTTTTCCTAGTTCCACCACTTTCTTTTTATGGCGTTGCCCTGCTCTACATCCTTTTTTTCTTCTTTCCCCCCCATTTCAGTCTTCTTAAATGGGTGTTTGACTTTATCTCCTCCCATTGATCCATGTCCTCCAACTAAAAAATTTTACTTTTTTTTCTTTTGCTCTTTACAATTTCTTAAGGATGTAAACCGGTTGTAGGTGGGGATCTCATAAGATCTGCAAGTGTATGGGCGCTTATTCCATCCTGAATTATTCCTCAACTGGGGGTTTTTTTTTCCTTCCCACCTTCCATTTTGTCTATAACGATCATTCAGATGACTGTCCATTTCTATATTGTCTCCGATTCAATAAATCCATGTGCGCTTCTTGTGTCCCTCGTTGTGCAGATTCATTAGCATCTGACCCTTTATTCTCCACTCTTGTGCCTTTATTACCTCCTTGTAACTCTTGTAAACCATTTCTTTCAGGTGATGAATTTACAGGATCACTTCCTTTATTAATTTAATTTTCCACTTAAAAACTTGTTTATACTTATAACCCTTCAGATCCCTTACGTTTTTTTTAACTTTTCATCTGATCATACTGTTGTAGGGACCCATGTAGCTCACTTGAAGCCATTATATTCTCTAGTATCCATATATGGTGAGAGTTTCCCTTTCAATTCCTCAATCGCTCCAATAATCTTATTAACCTTCCTCCATTTAATTTTCAATAATAACTTAAACCGCTCCAAACAACAGCTATTGAAGCAAAAGAAAAAGCCAAACCATTCTTTCACAGATTCTGCATCAATTAAACCATCATTAGGTGGTACATCTCTCTTAGGGCTAGTTCACACCAGATGCAGTCCGTTCAGTGTGGCAGCTGCATCAAAATCGCAATGTTTTCCAATGGCTTTTCTGGTGCTCTGTTCACACCAGTGTAGTCAGTTCTGATGCAGTCAGAAAAAAATAATAATGCTCATTTAAATTTTAGCTGCATCTGATCGCAATGGAATGCATCAAAAACGCATGCAAATGCACCAGACTGCACATGAAAGCCCATTTTTGGCTAAGAAAAAAAGTAAAAAAGCTAAAAACGCATTGCGCTTCAGCTGCACAGACTCATGCAGTTATGGTGTGAAGTAGCCCTCAATCTCCAAGGGGCCAATCCTTCAGGTAAATACTTATCAATAGTGACCTTTTCCCCCCCCTCTATCTTGTGTTTAAACTTCTTAAATACAACATTAATATCCTCAATTTTCTCGTTATAGTGATCTAATGCTGGCTGATTGCATCCTGCAATAGACTACTAGACATGATTTGTTGCTGCACAACTGCCTGGGGAGTCTGAATTAGGCCTCCAATGAGCAGATTTAAATTTTCTCTAAAAATAAATCCCATTCTCAGGTTGCACCAATGATGTCAGATGATCTGGATGACATCTGCGTTACTGCAAAACCATTAAATGCCCACATAAATTAAGGAACTGACAGATTTAAAAGCAATCCCAAACCTGTGCAAAAGTTGCCATTGTGCCAATTTTGTGCCCTTGTCAACCCAACCTAGTCTTATTTTCATGTTATTCTGCTCATTTACACAAACCCTTTTTGCCTGTGCATAGTCAAAAAGGGAAATAAGCAAGGGAAATATATGTATGCATGCATACATATACTCTGAGCTTTACCATATACCTAAGTTACATAAAAGTCACACTACTGTGATAGAATTTTAATCAGCAGACTTTGATTTAATTTTGGGGTAAATGTGTGTGCAAAATAAAAGTTGTAATGGAAAAAAATTACAGAAAAAGTATTTTTTTTGCAGCTACCCAGTTATTCCCAATAATAAGAAAATAATAAATTAAAAATATATAAATACAACTGTACTAAATTAAATCCTTATCTGTCCTGAAATTATTGATGTATTATCTGTTAGGGTAGACTAATAAAGCTGAAAGTAATAAATGTTTGGAAAGGTGACATCACTAAAACAAAAGTTGGGACTCAATTGGTTAAAGGAAACCCTCCTCTATGGGATATTGCTCAGCAAACCATTTTGGAAGGAAGGATGAAAGCCTTGCTAGGGTGAGCAAATGTTGGCATTTTTAGGACCTCAGGGCAGCCAACCCCATTCACACCAATAGTGAGGTAGAGCCAACAATGCTAACCATATGAGAAAAGGGTTCAGGCTGCCACAGTCCAGAAAACTGAACCTCTTGAGGGAAGGTCATCTGAGCATTCTGCAGTGGGGATTTCAGGACAAGACACTAGGATGGACACATAGCACAGAGTTTTGAGCAGCACCAGAAGACTGAGGACACTGCGAAGTCGGGTCCTCAGAGGGAACACCAGAAACTGATCCCTGCTGAAGGTGAAGGTCAGGGGATCCCTCAGGACAGGTTCAATAGAATGGGAGAGTAAGGAACTCTCCTAAATAGAGTGTAATGCTATGCAGGGTATTGCTCCCAATTACACGTTTCTACTAGGCCAGAAACAAGGACAGACCTGGAAATACTGCAATAACAGACAAATTCTAAGGAGCAGTTGGAGATACCAGACCCAAGAGCTTAGCCTGAGCGCTACAGAAGATGACCAGAGCACTTTAAATAGAGAGGCGGCAAAACTACTCAAGGACCCATCCAGATATGCAAACAGCCTCCCACTGTCAGAAAGAGGCACACCTCCATGCAGAAGGCTTACCGGAGGGGTTGGCTGACCTGTCTTCAAACCCTGTGGCTTGAATGGGAAGTAGGTTTAGAATGCCTACGTGTACAGACTACAGAAGTGGATGAAAGCAAGGGGGGGCTAAAGGATACCTCTACCCTCCAATACATGCACAATAAACACAAAGTTATGACCATCAGTTCTATAAAACAATACAAGTAGAGTAAGTGAAAAATCGTAAAAATAGGATTAGACATGCTTTCTTAATCATACTTGAGGCCTCCGTCAACAAAGCACTGATTTAGCCAACAGGCACAAACCCTCACTACCATCCATGCTCTGATCGAATTCTGCTTATGAAAATGACTTGTCCATTTAAATGACTTCTGGCAAGTTACTGAAAAGGATGGGCAGATCAAGATAGTAGCTTAATCAAGGACTCACAACAAACCTACAAATTAGAAGAAAGTTAAACTTCTGAACTGCATACTTGTTATGAGAGTGTGTCTCAAAGTATGGAAACCATTACAGCAGTACGACCAGAATTTTCAGAAGCAGGACGACAGCAATGGAAGCCTCCACAATTTCCTAATACAGGCTTTCTTGTATACATAAAAAAAAAAAAAAAGAATGCAGTGATGGCTTTTTGTTGTGTAGTAGCAGTAATAGTTGTCGATGGGACCCAAGTTAAATTTGAGGTTTGCTTTTTAATTCCATGGAGCAGTTTCAAACTAGAGCACAAGAAATCAAAACATTTATATAACATGCAGAACAAACTGATTGTACTCCACAAACCAGTACATAGTACAGCTACCTCATTTTTTAACTGTTTACCGTCAACGAAAATATTTCTGCCTCACAAATGAAGCATATTCACAAATAATGCTATATATGTTTTATAAATACATACTAGAACTGCGCTAATGTGTCTGAAACAGTGAATATTAGGGAGAAAAGACAATGAAATAAGCACTGATTTTTATAAACACCTCCCATTATATGTAGGGGTGCTCAAACACATCCCCAATCATTTCACCGTGTGAGGACGGAATCTTTAAATCCAAGACAGACAGTTAAACAGACATAATATTTTAAAGATTAGTTTATTTAAGGGAAGGGCAGAGCTGATAAACAGAAAACAAAAATAGAGGGTTGGTCAGGTACTTTACATGATAATAAAACATCTCCCAGAAAGCTGATTACAAATCATTACACGTTTTTATTATATATTTTCTTCAGATTACACTTCAGTGGGAAGTGTAAAATGTTAAACCAAAGTTTCAAGAACCGGTCCGAGAGAGAGACACGAGGACACAGCTCTCCGATGCACATTAGTTATAAATTAGGGAAGGCCAGATGAAGGGGGTGGTGGTGGGATGACAGGGAAGAGGACCAATGTTGATTTGGGATTTGTCAGATGTATGAAAGGCAATGTCTGGATGCAACATGCCGCTCAAACACCACCTCTTCCAGATACTTTTATAAAAAAAAAAACTCCTACGAACAAAAGTTCACTGCTACAGCAGCCTCCTGGAAACCCACAGCATCACACCAAGTCTGAGGGGGATTCTCCTATGTAACATGGTTGCAAGTCTGTGGCTCTAGCTAGTTATTTCATCTCGGCCACAGTGGATGAGAGGCTTCTGGCAAACTGCTCTATTCTGAGTGCAAACCAAGCATCTGAAGGGTTTCATTTCACTACTGAAGCTGCAAATCGGGGCTTCGTATAATTTCATTTTATTATCATAATGTTCTAAAAATGCAATCATTGGGATTTTAGGTCCAGCACATCAAGTTCATGAAGTTCTCTATGTGCTGGAAAATAACCTTAAAATAGGAGTTCTGGGAGCCACCCAAGTCTTATATGCGAGATGTTGCTTCCTGGAAATCAATGGCTTCTCTGGCATAAAAACGATAACCTTTGTGCAATGTAGCAGAGGTGTTTTCAGGAAGCATTGAATATACTATGTGATAATCCTGTTAAACTTCCTTTCCCAAAGAAAGCATGAAATGCGATCAAGGGCTCCCTCGCGACGCGACGC